ATTTTTTTATATATTTATAAATATTTATATATATTTTTTTTTTTTTTTTTTTTTTTTTTAAAGTTTGATACATCTTTATTCCACTAAAACTTACCCTTTGAAATGAGTCCATTTTGACCTCAGGCCCACTTAGTATCCATGGAGCCTGAGCAAACCCCACCCCCCTTATCTGGGGCCCATATAGATATTTTGATTTGGACGACACAATCAGCACCTTCTACATTTTAAAAATTAAATCACACAGTGGGAAGCACAACAACAAAAGAAGCTCAAACTACATGAGACCAAAATCTGAACGCGCTAATTGCGGAGTTCCAGGAATGTAGGACTTCAGCTGGCGTCAGCCGGCATCCGCTAGCTGAAGTCCACTGGTTTCCTTCTGGTTTTATTTTGTGATTTAGTGACTCGGCTATGATGTAGAAATATCATTACTCACTTAGTAAAAGTGGCATTTCCAAGTCAAGCTGTGACTCAAACTTGGATTTCATTTGTAAAGAATCGGCACTCTTCCCTGTTGCTTGTTTGGGGAAAGGATGAGTGTTTTGTAATTTCCATGAATAAACTGACGTCCGGTTCGTCGTGCAGCATCAGCAGACACATTAGTGCGTCCGTAGGTCTTTAAAAAAGGACTAACTGAGGTCAGGCTGTCGGAGCACTTTCCTGTTTCCCTTCCTCTACTTTTGTTGTAATCTTCTAAAAACATTTTTCTTAGGAAATCTGCCATTCCATCAGCATGAAGCTTTGCAAAAACATGCTTTGAAACCTCTTGAACAAGATATCTTTCAGCTTGATTTCAACATAGTTTAGTGAGTTGTTTTTGCTTTTAATCAGCAGCAAAAAAAATAAATAAATAAATAAAAAAACAACAATCCACATCTGTTTTCCCCTTTTTGCCCCCTCCCTTCCTATGAGATATCTTTTTTTCCAACATGTTATAACAAACAGCTCAGAGTGGGAACGCTTGCACTGCAATGTGGAGAAGCACACATCTCAATTTGGAGGGGAAAATTCCACCAGAAACAAATGAGAATCAGCACACAGACACACAACCCCCTGGGTCCAGTTCTTGTAAACGTTGGTCATACATGCACGCAGATGCATCAACACAACTTAACCATTTACACCTTTTAGGGTACAAATACGCCGTTCCTAGTTTGCTTGGGAGTGCAAAACATTTCCTATCAGACTGAAACTTTCTGCGCTCTTACCTTCGGCATCTTTCCACGTAGGGATCCTCTCTGTGAAACTGCAGCCCTCCGTGTCTCAGCGCGTCCTCCGGGTTGGCGAAAGCCTTTTATTTTTTTTTTCAAGTCGGGAGAAAAATGCATCAGAGAAAGTGAGAGAGAAAGTCAAACTGATTCAAAACTAAACTTTATTAAAAATAAATAAATAAATAAATAAATAAGATCTCTTGATTCTCTCACCTTTTTCCGTAGCCTCACTTGTCCCGTTATGATCGCGATAGTGTACATTTTGATCACCAGGAGGACGGCGTAGAAGACAAAACAGGAGAAAACCTCGTTTCTTATCATGGCTGCTGCTGGATTACTGTCAGCGGATGAAAAAAATAAAAAAAATAAAAATCAAGCGCCGGTCCCGTTGTGCTGCTGCTGCTGCTGAAAGTGAGAGTTGGCCCAAAGGCAGGACCTCTTTAAACAGGCGGCTCTGCCTCCACCCACAGACAAAGATGACTGGATGAAACGGAAATGTTTTATTTATGACACAACATGATGAGCCCACTGGCAGAATTCAGGCTTTTTTTTCTTTCTTTCTTTTCTTTTTTTTTTCGGAATAAGAATATCAGATAATTTTATCATCGCTTTAAAACTTTGTAAAAAAAAATATCTTACTTTTGATTAATTCATCACATTTCTAAGATTTAAAACAAAAATAAATCAAGTCTCATAAATATTTGCCTCCTTGCGGATTTATTCTGACTTTGCTTATGGTCACTGGAGAAAAAAAAAGTTTTTAGGTTATCTAGCAAGTAAAAATAAGGTTTCAAACGATGATAATTGAGAAACATATAAAACATGACTATGCTAGTTGTCAAGAAAAACTTAAATTAACCGTGTCTAAGCAAATCAAAAGCCACACGAAGGCTTAACAAAGAACATGTAGAGTAAAAAACAAAAAAACAAAAAAAAAAACAACACTCAAGCTGAACCTGTTTGACCCTAAAAAAAGAAGTTTTTAAAGTGCACAAATTATTCTCCTTTATGAATTATCCGGCATATCCCCCCCATTACTGACATCACCTGCTATTAACGTCGTTCTCCACAAACTGGTTAAACCAGATCTCGTAAAATATCTACATAAGCATCTCAGCACATCCAGGAAACAGTACAAGAAAAGCTGGAATTAATGTTTTAGGAGAAACAATTACAGGCAGAGAAAAATAAATGCGACCCACATTATTTTCTTTTAGATGAGATCTGGGTACCCCGAATTGCCATGATGGCCACAGGACCAAAAGGTCAAAGAAATACCAATCTTCCAACCAAAACAACCAATTTTCTGCAAAATTGTCAAAAATAGCCACAAAGTGATTTTTTTGATATCCTATCAAAAACACAGTGAGAGACAAGAAGAAAAAAAAAACTTCATAAATAACTTAGGAATTTGTTGTTTTTTGTTCATTTTCAAAGGTTTCTCTGAAATCAGTATGTTGAGAATGTGTCTCCCTTAACGGCTAGGCAAAACACAAGAGACTTTATCCATTTAATCATTTTAAAATTACACACGGTGAATAAATATGTGTGGGGGAGTGTGCTCCTTACAAATTCTGACACACAGCCCAAGATCAGGAGTCAACACGTCTTCATTTCTGAACACGGTGAAGATCATACTCCGAAAAATGATGAGACTGCTGGCAAAATATGGGCGACAAGGTTGGTTGCAAAAGAAAGAGAGAAAATTTTCCACTGAAGTTGTGATTCAGGAGCAGGGGGCTTCCGGTGGCCAAACCTGCCACTTTCTGAATCCTGATATCATCTGTGTGGAGTACTCAGTGTTATGTAAACAGTCTTGCATGCACATGACACATATTTATGCATACTGAAGTTTTATTTCTGATAGTTCAGCTGCACTCTTTTAATAAAGCGACACCTGCTGTAGCTACCCCAACAATGAAAACTACACACCACTCTGTCTTCAACACTTGTCAGCTAAAATGGTTGAAACATGGAAATAATCAGTAGATAAATGACTCAGAATACCAAACCTTTAGAAGATATATGGGTCTTGAGAATTTCATTATTATCTTACTTTTCTAACTTTCAGCAAAAAACTGCTGTGCTACAGTGGTACGCTATGGCTGGTGCAGAAACACAAACAATAAATGGAGGTCCAGTTTCACTTAGTTTTGTTTTTTCTTCTTCTTCCTTTGCAAGTAACATTTTCCGGACAATTTTGCTTTTCTCAGTTTAAATACTTCTTTGAGTGCAAAAGAAGTAGATGCTAGACAACCAATAAGTACAAACAAGTAAAAGCTAAACAGTCCACAAATGAAATGGGTAAAAATGGAATGAGACAGGGAATTAGCAGTGAACATGCCAGAGTTTATTGCAGAGCTTTGGTCATGACATCAACATGTCTCCTGTATGGAAAAACTATTCACACACAAGGTGTGCGGTGCCTGGTGATGTGTAAGGAAGCCCACATCACCACGTCCTCACCAGTGTTGGCCTGGTGTCTTTGGCTCGATGTGCAGAGCTGTTCTTCCTCAAAACACGATCTGTGCAGCGACGTCACAGCGTGTTGAGGTTTCGCCTCATTTGACCAGACAACAGGATATTCTCCCAGTATTTTTCCTTGTCACTTTCAAATACTCTTCTTCAGCACAATTAAAACAACCTTCAACATTTTTTGTTCATTCCCCGCTCTTTCCTAGTGGAGTGTTCTGCAGTGAGTTTGAATGGGATCTATATATATATATATATATATATATATGTTTTTTTTTTATATAAAGGTTTTGCTGCAGCACAAATATAACTGTAGCTCTGAGTCGTCCAATGAAGTCCTAATCCACAAATGGACGACACATTTTTTTCATCAAACACCAGCAATAAAATCCTCATAACATTGCTGACAGAGGAGTCAAAAGAATAATTCAAGATGCTTTCCAAGAGCCAAGGAATTCTCACAGACCTGGAAACAGAAAGTACTGAGGGGGGGGGGGGTTCCCACGAAGGTAGCAAATGCACTCAATACTAAAGACATGTTTGGTTCTTTAAAGCATTTTACCAGCCATCAGTTAACGTTACACCAGCTGATAGTGGCATGTGTGAGCATATTATGCTTGCTCTTGTCAGATTTGCAGTTTTTCAAGTAGGAGATGAGACAGCCAACCAGAAAATAAATACAAAGGGGTTTCAATTTTTGAAAAACAAAATGTTTTTTATCTGTTTTAATAAAAGCTGGCACATAGAAAATCATGGATTCTCTTCTCAATATCCATTTATTGGCAGCTCAGCTCAGCCCTCCTTGTAGTTGCTGACCAGCAATTTGCATCTTTCCCCTGGTATTTTAATGCTTCATCATTCACGATGAGCTCCGATTCGTCAAGGTCGGATACTTGCTCCCTTAACAGACTACATTTGACTCCAAACCGTTGATGTTAATTCATTTGACTAAAGTTAAAGTAAAATATTTAAAGATGTCGCAAACTAAGACAAAAAATAAAAAATAAAAACATCTTCCATTGTATTCACTATTAATACACTACATTTCAAATCATTACATTGAACTCCTGGAGGAATCTCAGCCTTCGGCCGCCTGAAGCTGCCAGTCCAGCGTGAGGGAGCTCGCCGAGCTGCTGTCGTCGCAGCAGTCCTCGGCGTCCGAGAAGGACGACATGTAGTGGAGGCCGGTCACTCGGTGGTAGCCTCCGTTGAGCATCTGCGGGCAGGAGGTGAGCTCCACGGCCCTGCGGCCCGTCCCCCTCGCCCTCACAGTCCACATATCGACCAACTGGGAACACACGACGCAGCCCATGGTGTGTGTAAACAGACGATGGCGGGTGTAGAGCTACCACAGGTCACATTACAGACTCAGCCAGGGTCAGGAAGTGACATGAATGGCGGGAAGGAATATTACAGAGTTGATGGTACTTTTGACTCGCTCATAAGATACATGAGCTATTTGGCTTATTTTTAATTTAAGACAATGTCATCTTAAGTCCTAAAATGTAAACATTTCATTATTTTGACACATTTATTACACAATGTTGCTAAATATATTTATATAAAAAAACAGTTTTTAACTATAAATATCTTACCTCTTCACTTTCATGCTTGTTTAGAGTTAAAACACTTTTAAGCTAAGTATACGCAAGGGAAGCTAACTCATTTTACTTGAAATGTCTACAGGTGTTGTTTTTCTCTCTCTCTCTCTTTCTCTCTTAAAGGCAGGAAATAATAAACTGCTGAGAAGGAAAATGAAGGTCCACCACAAAGTTTCAGATAGTTAGCACAGCAGCGTCGACTTGACTGATATGCTGACAGAAATCAAAAAGTTGGTCCTTTCACCATCAAACCGAAAGGTCACAGCTCAAACTCGCCCAGTGTCCTCCGTCTCTCACAGCTCCCAAACATGGCCTGCAAATATTTACACAGAACACTTTCGCAAAAAAAAAAAGAAAAAAAAAGAGAGAAAACACCCTTCGGAGCAAGCTTAGGGAGGTAAAGAGGAACCAAGCACTGGCCGTCCAAGAAAATCGCTTTTCGCTTTAAAAGAAATGAAGCGCTGCTGTTGTGTGGCTCCGTTTCTCTGCTCTCAAAACCACCAGACTTTCAGGTCATAATGGAGGTCTCATGTATGAATTGTTTCCTGTCTGGTGTTTGTCAGTCTCCTCTGTTTGATGGAAGAAGCCTGTCTGCAAAGTTAAAACAGATGCCTGAGGAAAAGGAAACACAAGTCAGATCAGCAAGCAGCAGCTCTGGACACAGTAGACGGCAAAGTAAGCACAAATGACATAAGACATTTGTTTCACTGTTCTTTTTTTCAGGATGGAGTGATTATGCATTACATTAACATGCAGCATGTTAATGTAATGCTGCATGTTACTGTAAGTGTGCAAAACGTAGAAAACGTAGATTTTTTTTTTACTTCTAAATGTCTATCTCGAGTTTGAAGTTTAATTGAAGATTTAAGAAGTAGTCCTCCATTTTTGCTTCTTTTGTTTTTCACTTTCTGCAATACACAAACACTACTGGCAGTGAAAAACAATCCAGAGCATGATGCTGCCATCACCATGCTCACCAGTTTGTCTCACATTGACTCGTGTCAACGTGAGCAACAAGCTCAATCCTGTCCCGTCTAAAAATAAAACATTTCTACTGGAGGCTTCTACATGTGGGCAGGCTTGAAGGTGTTCCTATTAGAGCAGATTTTTTCTTTTGAATCTGCACCTCTTCAGTTCATGGTAATACTGTAGTATGCTGTAGTATACTGTAATACTTACTTAGGCGATGAGAATGATGTTCAAACATCTGCCGGCTAATGGCCGAATTGAGGCTTGGTGGTTCTTTGGTTTTGAATATCCAAACAAATCTCCTTTTTTTCTTTCTTTCTTTTTTATTTTTGACTATAACAGTTTGTGAGACTTGGAGACGTTTGGTTTTCCAACAGAACAATAATCCTAGTCACACATCATGAAAACAAGTTTTGCAGATGAGAAGCGCAAATAAAGCTCCTGAAATGGGATTTTGAAAGCCTCCATGTCTGAACTAGCAGGCTTAAAAACAGGTGTGTGTTAGGAAACTACCCTGTCATATGAGCTCTGTCACTTCACCTGCAGGGAATGTTAATTACACCAGGAACTTGTTGGTGTTCACTGTAAGTGTGCAAAACCTAACAAGATATCATGGGATTCTGTACATTTACTTACTAGCATGAGCGTGTATGTATAATTTTGATTACACACACACACACACACACACGCACACACACACGTGTGTGAATTAGAGAGAATGCACAATACATCCAAATTGTGCTTGTTTAAAATGATTAAAGTTGTGTTGCTGTAAAATGAGTCCTCCCTGGAAAATCAGCTGCTCATATGAATAATTAGAGGATGAAAATTTAACAATATTACTCATTATGATGAGTGTATGTAAACTTCTGATCTATATATTTAAACCACTGTTGTACCCACCTTTTTTTTTCCCTCAACATTTTTAAGAAAGCATAACTAACGTATAGAAGTGTGCATAGGCATAAAATACGGTTTCTTGAACTATACTGTTCAAGAAACATGAACTGAATAGCCAGGTTTAGAGATTTAACTAATAAAAACTCTTAGCTAATCATGAAACTTGGTAGTTAAAATTGTCTTTGACTTGATCAATGTCCTAAAATAAATGCAGTATTGCATTAGGGCTGCACCTAAAAAAAAAAAAAAGGAAAAGTACTGAATAAAGACGGCATAATAACTCTTGTGTTATTCAGAATCAGAAATATTAAAATGTGTGCATGAACTAAGGTAAAATCCTGCTTTTTTTTTTTCTAACATCCAAAACAAAATGATCCCCATACTAGTCTTATTGGAAAAAAGTAGCTTAAGTAGAATTTGGTTTAGTTTTCTTCCCGTGGAGCAAATATTCCTGCGGAGAGACCTCAGTTAACGTCCGACTCTGAGAAAAGACAAAATTTTGTCCCAGGTAGGACCTAAAATCCCCCTGAGGACAAAGAGGACAAAGGTGGGCTGCATCATGCCACACCCATCCTGTCTCGGTGAACGGACAGCGGGAAGTGCCTCCTCTGCCGTCCTGAGCTGGCACTGTTTACAATACTGGACGTTGAATTATTCATGAACATGTCTGCTGAGTCATACATGGAATCCCTGCATTATTGGGATCCGTGTCAGTCATTCATTTTTAAATGCTGACAAAGCTATGCCTGCATCCTTGGTCAGACACATCAAGACACATGCAAGAGATGTGGTAATGTGAAGCTGCAGTGGTGTGTGTGTGTGTGTGTGTGTGTGTGTGTGTGCACATGTGAGTGCATGTGTGAACACAGAACCTAAAAATCAGTTTGCAAAAACTGGATCTTACCTGAAGATGTGTCGATTGTGTCATCAGTGCACAGCGTCCGCTCAGCAGCCCGGCATGTTTGCTCTTCAGTCTGTCTCTGAGCTCGATGCAGCTCGGCATACGCATGGGGCTCGAGATGACATCACAGCCCCTCACTTAACGGCTGCTGTATTTCTAAAATTAACCTGGGCATTTTCTGTGTGCTGCCCAAGCCCAGTCAGAATCTTGCAGCAGACATGTTACTGTAAAGATTTTTTCTTTTTCTTGGTTGTTGTTTTTTTTTTTATAGGCTAAATTTATAGAGGACCTATAATTTTGTTTCAACACAGATTCCTTAAATCTCAAATTCTTCAAAGACACCGCATCAATGTGAGGAGTTAAAAACAGAGAGATTGGAAAACACTGATGAAACATACAGGTATATGACGCATTACAGTTCTCTATAAAATATTTTTGCTTTTTAAAATACTGTACATTATTTTAAAGGGCAAATGTTTTGAGATATTACAGAGACAGGAAATCTAAACTTGCACTAACATGAAAAAAAATCAGGTTTTTAATTTCTTTCCATTGTTTTTCTAAACCGACAAGTAAGATTACAACACACATAGGCTCCTTTGTAGTCACACCTTAAATCAGAACCTATAGATTACGACACAGTATGGGACAGCAGAGCTCTCTATTGTATGAGAAAGAAAGCGGATCATGAAAGGCTTGAAATCTTGGTTTAAACAGGTATGAACAGGACAAGGCATTTCATCTCGTTTGTTTGATTTCCTTTCCATTCGCTTTAGCTTCAAGTAATAATTTAAAACCCAACATGATGCTGCAAGGAAACAAAATTGGAGACAAACTCCTGAAGTTCAAGCATTGTGACAGATGGTGTCGTCAGCATAACATAAGATGTGGCAGTCCTTCAAATACGAAGCGTTCTGGGACTAACGATGGCAGTCAGAAATGAAACGGAAAGTAAGCAGAATTTAACATTTTTGAATCACAATTTTTGTTACAAGTGTTCATTAGACACTGACCACTAAGTGCTTTAAGACCATGGGTAGTGTGCTAGCCTCTACGCTACTGCTTTCAAAACCATTTCTCTGGTTTTCTTCCTTCTGACTGGAGAAATTGCTAAATAAATACAATCCCTATGAACTCATATTGGAGTTTTTGAAGTTGCGACCTCTGATTTAGTCTTGGGTGGCCGGTGTGCTGTGACAACCGGGTTTGGTGAACCACGCATAACTCTCCACTTCGGTTTTGTCTACAGGGCAAACGTAGTCACCACTTAGCCACCATCTCACATTAAATGACACATTGATTTTTAAAATATTTATCCAACAGCAACTTGATAGCACGTGTTTAACATTTAACCCCGTCTGCCTCAGTACAGAAAAGGAAGGGGGGGAAAAACTCCAATCCAAAAGCAGGAAATTTTAATCATTAAACCAATCATAGTAATTACATCAGGTATACAGACATTTAAACATCCCTTTGAACTGTGGTAGAATCACCATAGCCACAAGAGCCACACACGGTTAACAACTAGGAAACATGACCCGTGAAATCTCGCTGTGTGCCGTGACACCTATGAATACTTTCCAACCACAGCAATGCTTGTTTTTTCCAGTAGACTGAAGTCTTACACGCATATACATGCCGTAACATGAGCGGATGCACTTACAGGGTGGGGTTAATGTAATAATTACTACAAGAAATTCCCTAACACTGCATTATAACAAGTCACACCGCCTGGCTGTTTGAACTCTCAGCTGTTCAAGCTACTGACTCGTCCTAGCATCTCTACAATACAGCTAAGATTGCACTGTAGTTGTTTCTCGTTTGTTTGATTGCACATTCTTCCCCACACCTATAGAAAACATATTGCCACAATATTAGCATTTTCCTGTACATAAAATCTGGAACTGTATGAAAAGAGAAACTAGTTCAATAAACAAAATAGACAACATTAGATACATTTTTTTTTCTTTTAAAACTGATTCATAATTTAACAACAAAACAGAGACATGGCTTACTGTGATCTAAAATGTTAAATATACATAGTAAAGTTCTCTGTTTTATAAGTCACCTGTGAAATGAAAAGCGTTTCTATAAAACCTATTTAACTTTTTTGTCATGGTCCCAAGCTCTTTTTTTTTTCTCTGAAGACATTTTGGGCTGCTATCCATGGAAAACACCCATGAACAAAAGGTCAGAAAACAGGAGGGGAGATACCTTTTGTTGTGGGAAAGCATTTTACAAATCAAATTTTTGTAGAAAGTGCAACTTGCAAATTCAAATAGAACACACCTTCAAAAAAAAACAAAAAACAAAAAAAAAAACTGGTGGGAATCATAAAATATTCTTAAAAACATTAAAATAAAGTGAATAAATCAAATTTTCCTTATTTAATCTAAGCAATCTTTTAACCTTAACCATTAGGAGTTACATCTGTGCTGCTCACATACAAATACATCTACAAGCTGTATATGGAATACAGGAATACATTGTATGTACAATAAGTTGATTTTATGCTTGTATTTCTATGCCTTGTATGAAGAGTTAGCTAGGTGAACTCTCTCGCATTAACACGTCTAAATGTCAGAAGAGCATTTATCAGATTGTATCCAAGAACTCAACCCTGCTACAGAAGTCTGAAGTTTTTTTATTTTGAAGACTGTAACAAAAAAGCAACTCCATTTTGAAACTGCGGCCAAAAGTCTGGAATATGCCTGGCTAAGCAAAACATGTACTCTTTCTTATTTACTTAGTTTGCATACAACTTTTTTTTTTCAAAGAAATAAAAATAAGCAAAAGGTTTCAAATTTTATTTTGTGAGCTTTAGAACTACTGCAGGTTTGTTACAGGGTGCTAGCTAACTAAAAAAACTGCTAAGCTAAATGGAACATCCTAAAGTAACTAGCATAGCTTAGTCATTTTTCCCAGAGGCAACTAATTGTTGTCTCTGGGAAAAAGTCACTTCTGTTTTACAATATAACCAATTTTTCTTCAGACTTAGGGAATTAACTATAGGCAGCAATTTATCAGCTGGGGGGTGATTGCTGAGAATTCAAACATCACACACCAAATAAAGTAGTACTCTTAAAAATAAAACATTTGAAGAGTATATATGAGATACGAGATGTTTCATAGTTGCAATAAAAATGCAAAAAAAATCAAGTATAGATGACTGTGACACAAAATGCTTTGTGAAATCAACACACTAAGTGGAGAGAAACTTTCCCCCATTGGTTCAAACCACAATGTTTTCTGTAATGAATGTGACTTGACTCATTGCACTCTCATGGTTTTGAATTGGCCAAAATGACGCAAAATGTTTCAGCTAGCAGAATATGACTGTGCATGTATGATGAATAAACATGAACAATGACTCCAGTAGTGTGTGTTTTCCAAGACATCCATATTTTTGTGAAAACGAGACAGAAACATATGCAACAGTTAGTTGTGCTGGAAAGGTTTTCTGGCTTCATGCTCCCATCCCCTAAATTTTGGGGAACTTTTATAAATGTGCGTTTCCCAACACGTGAACAGCTTAAATTTGTATTTTAAGTTTCGTGGCTAAATTTGTAATAAAAATCTGTATTATATTCTAAACACGTATGACTTCATTTTTCAAATTTCAAACGTGATGAGACATTTTTTTCTGGGAGAAAACATCAACATAGCGTGATAGATATGGAATCTTCAAACTCCTGCTAAGCAACGATAAGAAATTACAGATAAAAAGAAAAGTTCATCAAAAGTTTGACAGCAGTAACCCCTTTTATCTAAATCACATTTATCTCTATATATATATTGTTTTGCTTAATAAATATGATTATTTTTAACTAAATGCATCTCAAGTAGCACTTGATAAGTTCAAGCTTACACTGATCTTGTAGCAGCACAAATCTATTGCACAAGATTCTCTTTATCACTTCAGATACATACGCATCCCTCCTGCGTATCTACTTTGACTAATGAAATGTTAACATTCACATCTATACATGCCCCCCCCCCAGTCCCTATGGCTGTTTGCTGACAGAGCTTGCACTGACTATACAAAAGCAAGGTCTTCTTGTGAGTATTTCTGAGCATGAAAACGGATCGTTTAAGCAAAACAACTGAGCTTCTCAGTCAGCAAAAACTTACAGCTGCATGCAGTTTGAGCCCAGAAGTGATTGTGCATAACCCACACATGCATGTTTTGCAGTTATAAACAAACCTGCTCCGGCCATTCCCATGGACCAAAATAAAAAAAAAAAAAAAAAAAAAACAGAAAGAAAAAGGTTTCCATTCCTGAGGGCTTGGCGCACGCTGAGGTTGGAGGTTGCCGATGTTTCATTCACTTGAGACCTGTTGCTTCTGTCTGCTTGTTGCTATGTAACTTAGTAAACAGCTAAACAACGGAAAGCTTGGTAATAGATCTTAATTGCTTCTAGTGTGAAAGAGGAGCCCTCCTCCCACGTATCGGCAACGTTCACTGCGCCGTTCTGGCTCGTGACGCCAGGTGCCGTTCGCCTGCCACGGCCGGTTTAGAAGCGGCACATGACATCTAGTCGCTACGGCGACGCCTATGGCTACCGAAAACAGCTGCAGAGATGTGACACAAACACAGAGCTTGGGAGCGGTCCGATGGATAAAACCGGTGATGTTTAGGTCCCGTTTTGACCTTCTTGCAGCTTCAAAATAAGACGTCGCTACATTTACAAAGTGCTCGTAATGCTTCTTCGCCAACGTGCAAATTCCTCATCTTCATGTGAGGGCAGAAGTGGAAAGATATCATCAGACCTGTAGGGGAAAAAAATTTAGAAAAACAAGTTTGAAAAAAACAAAACAAAAAAAACAAAAACAAAGGGAGTCTAAGCTTAGTTTACAGCCTTGCAAAAGTATTTCTTCCCTTGAATTTATGTCTTATTTTTTTCAAGCAACAAAGACAAATATCTGTGTATTTTTGAAGGAATTTAGCCCAACAAACAGGAACGAATACAGCGAAGTCGAAGGAATGTGATGAATGGTCTACAATTTATTTTCAATAAAAATCGTAAGAATTCAGTTTAATTGCTTCATCCAGCTCATTTACAGCCTTTTAGAGTAAGTATCCAGTACCAGCACTGCACATCTAAGCAT